TTTTTGAGAAATAATGAAATCCCAATCATCTAGGACTTTTCCAGCATCTTAACAGCTGACTTAAGGATAAGAATATTTCAAAATCCTTCCCTTCTTGTTACTGCCTCTATCATATAGGCAACTAATTAATAAAGAATCACCAAGACTCGAGAGAGCATCGTAAATAATCCTTGTCTTTGGTCAGGTAAACTTTAAATTATTTCACTCATGTGATAGCTTCTAAGGCGCACTAATACATTCAAATAAGCCTATAGAAACGTTGAGACTTCTTAATTTACAACGTATTCTCTTGATCCAATACATTTCCACCTAAGACGAAACAAACCCAAAAAAACCTTCATTATGTAATACCTGAAAGACAGTTAACCACTTGCATGACAACGTAAACAGTGGAGGGCTACTCGAAGGGTAATTTTCAGGGAATCTAAAATTCAACACAATCGGAGGAAGGTACTCTGCCTCTAATATCTCGTAGTTCCTGGTATTTTGCGCTGCGTCCGCAGTATTTTTGGAAGCTTCGATCTCCTTCCTCGTAGAATGTTTTGGTAGAGATCTAGATTGTATTTTCAGTTTGAAAGGTTTAGGCAACTCCAGGAATACATTAAACTGGCCTCCCTTCTCCTCTGATGACTGATTAAAGATTCTTTCGTCGTAAATTGAAGCTAAGGCAAGTAATTCATCCTCCTGCTGCTCGCCGTCGGACATTTTGTTAAAACCTAGATCCCAGTCCTCTTCATAACAAGTTTAAGGGGGGAATATAGGAAATTGACTACTAATACGGGGAGACCGGTTGAACACTAAAGAGCCTCAGGGGAGAAGGAATCCGATAGTACAACCAAATCTCCCCCCCCCACCCCTCACTACTCACTACCACCACCAAGCGATAACTAAGATCAGTAAGCTTTCGTGTAGCCTTACCCTACCCGCATGGAGAAAAATTTCACCCTGAGGGGGAGGGTAAGGCTACACGTAGGCCAATGACCAGTTCCTTAGCCGTAATGGTTATGTACTACCGTGAAAGGTATGGCTTTTGGGTTTTCGATTCAATGACCACATCTTGAGTGAAATAACTTCTCTTTATTCATTATTCTGCAATAGTAGCCTCATCATAGTTTCTTACCACCAATCTAAGTTACATTTTCGGAATCTTTCCTAAATATAATAATTTCCTGCGCATTTAAAGTTAAAATGAAAATAGGCTTCAGTTCAGATTATACAATTACTTTCCGCTTTCTGCAGAATGAATTATTATTCATAAAATTGAATCTTTATTTTCGAATACTCTCCAAACATTATTGGAATACAAACTTAGAGTGATGAATTTTCACATCCTCCACAAGTTTTTAATCATTCGCCCAAAAACTATCTTGGAAGTGAAGAAAATAGAGATATGTACAAATTTTTGCAATTTAGAAAATCACTGCAACCTCTGTGTCTACTTAGAATCTTAAATGTTTTATTTCTTAGTAAACCCTCCTAATTTACTTCTTGCCTCACGCCAGCGTTAATCAAAATTAGTATATACCACACAGGTGAATAGTGTTTTCCGCGCGCGCTGATTGCCCGGTTCGGAAGTATTTAGCCAGTAATGTTCCCCTCCGAGCAGCAGGGGAAAAAATCCGGCGTCAAGAGTTTAATTTCCTTCTTCGGTGTATTGACAGAAAATTCATTTTTTGGTTGCTGTGTAGTCTATACTAAGTCTTTGCTAAGACAATTATTTACCATAGTGTCGGTGAATAATTGTTATTAATGAACAAAAAATTTCCAATTCATTTCTCAAGTAAGACGCAACAGGCAAATATTCGAAAGCATCAAAGGGGGGGGGGGGG